CATGAAAATGGCCTTCAGCCTATTTTTTTTTTCTTTTTTGCACCACAGACGGGTTTGAGGCAGGAAAATGTTTCCATGGAGCAGCAGCAGAGTATATGTGCCGTATGTGCTGTGTGTGTGTGAGAGTTGCGGTCCAGCACGTGGTTTTGATGGTGGTTTTGGAGACTTCTGCTGTCTCATTATTAGGTCTTTTCCCTGTTTTAAAGAAGCTCTCAAGCGACATTTCTTCTTACTCATTTCTGCTAAACATAGTTTGAGGACTTACCAGAGCATAAAGAAAAAAAAATGGTCAGAAAGAGGTCAGAAATAAAAACCCCAGTATCAGCTGCTCTGGTCCAGTTTGGTACCTGTCTTGAACCTGGTCTTTGTATTCTGCAGCTCCAACGTGATCAAAGCCTTTTTAAAGCCAGTATGCTGTATATTAAACCAATAACCATTATATTCTCCTTTCCCTTTCTTCTTTTTGCTTTGATAACTCCAAAACACAAGTTTACTGGGGCTTAATGTGGCTCACAATTAACAAGAGCTCATCATTGAAAACACTAATTTCACTGCATGTTCTTCTGAAACCGTGCATCTCATGAATAAAAAGGCCTGATCGTTGGATTAATTGCTCTCACAAAGGATATAATTCACCAATGTTTGTTCTTGTTCCTCAATGATGACAAGAAGAATCTATTCACATGACCTCTGATGGGGATATATAAACCTATGGTCAATAAAGAGTTAACAATGACTAATTCTGCATGTTTTTGGACTGCGGGGGGAATTGTCTGGAGAAAACATCTACACTCACGGGGACAACTTGAAAATTTAACACAGAAAGACAGGAATTTGAATCAGTGATCTTCAGCTGCACAAATGGAAGACAGGACTGGGAGCCAATTGAAGTGAAGCTTTGTAAAGACTTTTGGGGACCGTAATAAAACATGTTCCTTGACACGGCCTCATACAAAATGTCTGTGATGTTAAACTGATTTATTAACCACTGACGGAGAATTTCTGACCACCATCAAGGCTAAATAGTTTGAAAAGAGAAATCACTATGGAGCTGAAGAAAACCTGGAGTTCCTTGAATATTTGAACTTGTTGGACTGACCTTGAAGTGTCTTTGTCTGATTGTTCTCCATAATGTGCCCATGCTGTCGAAACTTGCACTGTGATTCTCAGAATTCTTTCAAAAATAAGGTATTTTTCTCTTTTTTCCCCTTCTTTGTCAGACTCTGCACCTCTGAAAAGAAATATGAACACTGACTTCAAGATTGAACCCTACTCTAATGAGCTGCCATTCAATCAGATTATGAAAAGGCTAAAGGGAGATTAAAGTCAGCAATTTGTGTCCTGTGGAAGCCATAAAACTCATCCATTCTAGCTTTTTCTTTAAAATAGCAAAAGCTCCTATGTTATTATAGCACAGAGTCGACCATTTATTCCAATATACCTTATTATGCATGTCAAAAACTGACCTCTAAACAGTCCAAACCCTTTCATAAATGCAGAGGTGTTTAATGGTGGGACGTGTCCGCCTGCCTGCGTGAATAAATCCTCAGTCATTAGTCACAATGAGTGTTATTGAGTCGTCAAAAGCCAACAGTAAAGCCAACAGTAAACCCAACCACAATTCTTTGCCCTTCATGTGCCATTACCGAGCAGTGGTAAAAACCTCCAACTCCTGCCTCTGTGAAATTACCATCACATTTTGGCGTAAAAGCCACAATGACAGATTGATGTGAAATGTTTTAAATCTTTTTATTTCAAATCCTCCAGGTGAACGCTCTATCTTAAAAGACAGTATAAAAAAAAACCCCAAATATCCTAGAAACTTAGCGTTGATGTTTTTTTATAACTCCAAACTGTCAGCTCTTCTCAGATTGTGCTTGTAATTGGATGCTGTGAACAAGGACCGTCTTGTCATAAGGATGGGATAGAAATGAGCAGACTTTGAGTGACTATGAGAAGAAAATAAACCAAGTAAGCTGTGGTGTTTTTGGCACTTGTGGTAATTAAGTTGTAAGAGCTCAAACCAGGCAAAGAAAAAAATCTGTAATGGTAATTAAGGTAATTAAGTAGTAACAGCTCAAACCAGGCAAAGAAAAAAATCTGTCAAGCATGAAAATCCAAGTTAAGTCAAAGAAATTTGATTTGCCTTAAAAAGGCAACTCTAAAGCCTATGGCCTATTGTCACTTCTCTAAAAAGTAACCAGATTACTGTGAGATAATGCAGCTTCTAGAGCTGACTTTAAGGTGCTGTATTTTTTAAGCATAGATTAAGGGACTGCTGAGTGCATTATTACACATATACAATTTCCCAAGGCTTTGAAATAATATTTTTGTTAATTTTAAAACAACATAGTGTTCTTTAATGCATCTTTGTGCAAAAAAAAAAAAGTAATCAATGAATTTTTTGGGGGGGACAATATCGACACATTGATTGACATGTAAGACCATTTCTAATTAAAGTAATAAATAATACACAGTTTACTCGAACTTCTGCTATATAAAATTAATTTAAAAATTGCAAGAGATTATAGTTATGTTTCTCCTGTGCAGACATGCATTGTTTGCATTTATAAAAGGTATGTGTTGGGATAGAGATGCACCCTGGGTGTTTGTGTGTATGTGTGTGTGTGTGTGCGTAGGTGTGGGCATTCATGTGGCAGAGCATGTTCCTTTGACGTCTCTGACCTTCATATCTCTCGGGGTGTGCTACCAGCCATTTATCTTTTATTCATTCTGCCATTTGTGACCAAAGCAACTTCTCCTGCGCTGACGTTCGTCAAAGCAGCCCCAGTCCCACAATATTCACCCAGCAGCTGCCTGTGCGGCCCAGTCAGAGCAGACAACAACTCCCCTCGCACACGTCCTTTCTTCACGTGTCACTCCGACTGTGCCACTAGCTAAAAATCTACTCCGTCTTCCAGTTGGTTTGTAATTTTCAGTGGCTTGTTGAAAAGACCAGGCTGACAGCGTCGTTACTGTTTTTGTTGTTCTTCACACCCTGCTGGATGCACAGAGCTTGTGAGGGAGCGTTAGCCTTGAACACCTGTTCATGAGTTGATTCATCTTCAGGTGCAATACAGAAAAAAACTCAGCACTGCAGCAAGTTTCTCACTCGTTTGTGCAGATTTTTGGCGTTCTAACAGAGTACATCATCCTCCCGAATGAAATCAGAGCAGAAGCTGTGAGTGGAAAACAGCGGGTTTGTCTCCTAAATATCTAAGGCATGTCCTCTGAGGAAAACTCTTCAATAACATGGCATTGAAGCTCACATGAATTACAGTGTATTTTGCACATTTACATAACTAACATGCAGGACTAATAGCACAACGTATATTTATCAAATGCATTAATTAAATCAGTACTATCACAGTTACCGTTGCAGATACAATTCTTACATTTTCTTTTGAATACAAAGGTTCCATTCCTGTGCGACGTAACTAGATATTCGACGGACCTTACAAGTTACATATAAGGCTTTGACAGCATAACCAGGGTAGTTCATAGAGCTTTCAATGTGGAGCAGTTACAGTTTTGAGAGCCCCCAGAGTTACTCCACCTGCTTCCTGTATTTGTTGATTAACCAACACCTTTAAAACTGCAATAGTTACATTAAAAAAAAAAAAAAAAAAAAAAAAAAAAAACGGCATCCCAATCACGATTGTCTGGTAAAAAAATGGCCTGCAGTCAGACATTAACACACCACATTTTTACCTCTGTCTCTCTCACTCTTACCAACGTACTGCTGTGTACAGGTCTAATTATCACACTCTCTTTATAACCGTCCGGCACATTATCGAGATTTTAATGTTCTCCTTGAGGATTCGTAAGAAAAGCATCTGCCGAAAAACAAAAGTGCTATCCTCAGCTGAGCTGCATCAGCGTGTTGTAAGACACACTCCCAGCTCTAACAGTTTGATAATTAGACGTGACATGATTGAACCTGTAGTTCCTGTCATCATTTTTCTCTTTCTCTTGACTCTTCCCTGTCAAACCTTTTATATGCTTGAATTCTTTGATCTGGAGGCTCCGAAAAGAAATTTTAGAAACAACACCAGCTTGTTTTCTGTTACTGTCACGGATACTTTTGGGCACATTTGTGTGATGATTTTGTTTCTCTTTCTATTGTTTTTCTGTTACTTCCTGGGTTTGTGTTGCAGTGTTGTCCCTGTTGTTCCCCATTGAAATGACAAAGTCATCTTGTTGTTATGTTAAAGCATTTCCATGAATAGATTTATTTCCAGAGTCTCACTCATGGAATTGTTGGGTTTAATTTGAAGTACAGTTTAAACATGGCATTGATTCAACTTTGATGGTCAGGTTTGTCAAATTCTTTGGTCTGTCTGACCAAAGAATTTGATAAAACATTGTATATATATATATTGTATAACTTGTTTTTTTTAATGATGAATATTAACATTGAAATATTTGCACAATAGGCAAATCTTTCCTAGAAAATGCATTATGCAGAGCAAAAGTAAACTCTGATTCACCACTTGCTGCATTCTCACAATCTATGCAACTGACCGTCATCTTACTGTGACCTTACACAAAATACACATCTCTTTGCCGAACATTGTAACGATTGTGATCTTGTTGAGATTGTTTCATCTGCCGCTTCTGGGAACAGTCTTGCAATCTCGGTTCTGACACCTTTTGGCAGGCACATGTTCTAACAAACACGGCACGACCAATAACCCAACACCCTCCTGTCACCGACACCTTTCACACCACCAGTCAATGCTGGAACTTCGCATGTGAATTTATTTGTAATAAAATTATAATCACAACAATAACTAAAAAAGAGCAGGTAGCCTCAAGGAATTTTACATTTTTTAATCCTCTTCCCTTGACAAAAGCCCAGACAGACCTGCTTAACATATTCAGGAAGTACATTTTTCCATTTATTGATTTGCTCTAATCAAATCCCCCACAGACAGAAGTTAGTTTTTTTAGTTGTGTTCTCACATCTAACTGTCTTTTTCCATTTTCGTTTACTCCAGATGATAGCTGCAGACTAAGTGACTACCAACGTCTGAAAACCAAGACTCTGGATCTGCACGAGAAACGATACATGGGATCTCGGATGCACGGAGTCCATAAGGACAATATGGCCGCCAGGAGGCATCTGGTTGATGTTATGTTTAAGCGCTTTGATGCAGATATGAATGGCCAGATAGATTCCAGTGAACTCTCACAGGTGAGAAAATCAAACACTGATGTTTGTTCTCCATGCCTGACATAGAAGATCAGTCGACACTGAACTTAAACAAGTATTTATTTTACTAATGGGAACCAATGCTAACGGTATGCTACTATAAATGCTATAAACACTTGGCGACTCTATTGATATTAGTATAAAAAACAGTAGACATTAAATGAACAAACAGCCTACCTGCCCAGGTGGTTCAACCTGTCCACTTTGATGTCTGCCATAATTTTGTCCATTTTTCCCTCCGTGCCCTTCCCTCTGGTTGCTCAGGTACAGTACATGGCTCTAGGTGCAGACTTTGAAATGCAATGTGGGTCAAAGTAGCCGTCTGTTCATGGAAGGGCGAAGCCTTTGACCAGTGCTGCCAAGAGGGACAGTTGTAAAAAAGGAGCTTTTTGGCTGCAGTGGGGAGCCGAGCTATCTAGTGCATAACAATAAATCCTCCCTAGAAGCAAAGGCCTGATTTAATATAGAAAGTTTTGAATAATTCAGTGTAAGCAGCCTGCAGCATTTTTTTTCTTTTTTTCTCAGAATCAT